TACCTTTTTTTCTTTTTTTATTTCGCCTGTTTTAATAAGATTCACCTCTATAGTCCCATCCCTGAAGTTATTGTATAAATACTTGCTTAAAACTTAGGGAGCATCTGAAAATGCTCCTCCAGCATTTTAGTCTGGGTGTGTTCTCTCTGTTGCTGACTGACTGCATCATGTCTCAGTGACAGCAGGGGTCTGATCATCTCTGACGTGTGTCACTTACTGACAGGTGAAATGACAGAGACAAAAGCTGTCACTCATCTGAAATATGCTTAACCACAGTATTAAATAGTGCTCATTATGCAAGTTCTTTTTTTCTCATTTGAACAGCACAACATTGTATACATTTAATAGCATGTCTCATTACTGTCTCTGTGTGTGTAGAACACTCCAGTGGGAACGTCCGTGTTCATGGTGAACGCGACAGACCCGGATCAGGGTGTGGGCGGCAGTGTGCTCTTCTCCTTCCAGCCTCCCTCTCCGTTCTTCTCCATTGATGGGGCCAGGGGAATCGTTACTGTGACGAGAGCGCTGGACTATGAGACGACAACCGCCTATCAGCTTACTGTTAATGCTACGGTTAGAAAACACACACTGTAGAGCTCTGCATTGTGAAATTATTGAGTCGAACTTTGTCAATTCCAAAGCCAAATAAAACATGTGTACTTGTTGATCTCTGTGATAGGACCAGGATAAGAGGCGTCCGCTCTCGAGTCTGACTAATTTGGCGATTACCATCACTGATGTTCAAGACATGGACCCCATCTTCACCAACCTGCCGTACAGCACTAATATAATGGAGGACGCACCACCAGTCAGTAAACACACACATATATTTAGTCTTGCTTTGTACTTAGTTCAGCAGTATTTAGATGGGTGAATCTCACAAAATGACGTGACGTGACATGAAGCCAAGAATGGTGTCCCATACTCTGAATTTGTGTTTTTCATTTATCCCATCCAAGTGCACACACACACTGCAGTGAGTAGTGAACACACACACACCGTGAACACACTCCCGGACTTGTAACCCAAAGGTCGAACCCGCGACCTTTGGGTTACAAGTTCGACTCTCTAACCATTAGGCCACGACTGCCCCCCATGTCCCACAAGACTCCCCCCAAAAAACAATGAAATATTTAAATATTATTTACAATTAATATTTTTATTTGACATTTTCTGATTAATTTTATTGTATTATTTTACAAATTTATTTTTAAATATATTTGACATTTATTTACAATGTTTTATTTATTTATTTATTTATTGCATTGTGGCATTATTTTAATTTAAATATATACACTGACTTTTTTTTTCATTATAGCATTATTTTCATGACAATTAAGGAAAGGTCCCTCTCAAATTCTCTAATAACTTTAATGTGTTTGTAATTTCCATTATTCTCAATTGCAAACATGGACATGTCCTGAACATTTTTTCGTGAGATTCATCCAAATGCATTGGCACAAAACCTAGTGAGCTGGCTACATAGACAGCATATTTGGGCCTCATAAGAATTTTAAATAGGATGTAATTTTACAAGGTTTTGAGTCCAGATAATATTTATATGAAAACCATAAAACAGGAATAAAAGTAAAAGTAAAGTAAGGATTTGTACAAACAGAACACATTCCAGTGAATGAGAGACAGACAGACAGAAAGAGAGAGAGAGAGAGTTTGGCTGACAAAGAGTGATATAATGTGTGTGTTGAGTAATTAGACAATAATTATGAGAGAAGTAGCCATTACACCTGTGAACTCTCGCTGGAATATTCCTGTAATTACAGTGATAGATTTATACTGTGACCTGCTCAGTGTGAGAGCCCACGAAAGGTAATTCAATGCGAGATTCACTGCCGGCCGTTTGGTCCTGTGTCAGTTTACTGTGTGAAACACACCGCTGCAGGCTCTGAGGATATGTGTTGGATGTGTGTTTCTGTCTGTGTAAAATTGAAAGTGGAAGTAGCTACGTTAAAGCCGCCTTTAAAATATACCATAGACCAGAAATCATATATTTACAATGGAGATTTACACTTGCTGAACTGCTGTATCGATTTTATACTGCAAATAAATAAACGGGAAGTTAATATTCTAAGTTATATTTTAGACACAAAATTGCTAGTTACAGTAATTTTTTCTCAACTAAAAATAAACCAAAGCAAATTCAGCTACAATTAATCAAAATGTAATCTAAAATATATTTAAAACTATAAAATTTAAATAAACTAAAAAGAGAAATCTCTCCTAAGAATGAAATTATGTGCAAAACCAAAGTTTAAGCCTGTAAACTTGCAGAAATGTGTGTAATACAATACAATATAATATAATATAAAATTATTTGAGGAAAATCAATACTGATTTTACTGAATTGCTGTCTTATTAGCAAAAATAACTATATTTTGATATATCTATAGAAAAATAGCTGTATTAAAGCAATAAGCCCCAAGAAGCTGTGGTTTACAGTGAATTTATAACAGCTAAGGGGCGGTGTTAGGCACGACGCGAAGCGGAGGTAGCTGTTATAAATTCACTGTAAACCACGGCTTCACGGGGCTTATTGCTTTTATAAAACGGTTATTCCATATACGTAGTAAAGTTTCACAAAATAAAACAGAGCAAATAAAGTGTAATGATATTAATAAAAAGCAGTATTCTTCCACCAAACAATGTAGCTCCTCAGAATTAGTTGTGGTTGCAACAAAGTGGTTGCCAAGCTACAGACAAATGTAAACAAAGGTGTATGTTTGTAGAGTAATTTACAACAGCTTCAAACGTGGCTCAGCCAATCAGAATCAAGGACCGGAACTATCTGTTTTATAATTTGATATACACATTTAATGTACATATTTAATGCACACACTAATGGTCAAAAGTTTGGAATAATTAGTTTTTTTTTTTTTATTTTTGAAGTCTCTTGTGCTCTCCAAAGCTGCATTTATTTGATAAAAAATACAGTAAAACAGTATTATTGTGAAATGTAAAATAACTGTTTTCTATTTTAATATATTTTACTATATTACAAAATGTACATATTTCACCGTTTGTATCACTCCACTTCTCAACCAACTCTTCAGTGTCTCAGTCTCTGTCTTTTTTACCTATTTCTCTTTCTTTCATGCCCCATATTTTCTCTCTCCCTCCTTTTTTCTCTCTCTCTGATGTCCATTTGCATGCATATTAACTCGTGAGCGTGTCAGAAGTGAAGTGTGGTGACACAGATCTATCAGTCGTCTCGGGAAGGTCATGAATAAGAAGACAGTGATGACTTTAGACCAGTTGTCCTGTCTAAATGTGGCGGTCAGCATCAAGCTCCAAGTGGACTCGATTGATTTTGGCATATCATTTCTTATTTCCTAAAGTTGTGGAAACACTATTAAAAAAAGACAAGAGGCTTTTGTGATGAGAATTAGACAGTCTAAACATGTACGCCCTCAATAAGGGCACACGTCACACTTGCATGTTCGTATAAAACGATGTTGACACATACACTTAGCCACACGCAGAGAGCTTAAAGCTTATCTTCCCTCACATTCACATTCACACGCTTGTACGGAGTGTGTGGAGAGTTCTCAAGGCTACTGACATTTACACACAAACAGATATCAAACACGCAGAGCTGTCGTGGGTCATCTGTCAAAACACAACTCTTAACCCCCGCTCCATCTCAGGTGCGTTGCTCTCGCTCAGACACCTGGAGAGAGCGAGATCCCTTAGCTTTCCCTCTCATCTCAATTGCTTTTGTACATTAGAGAAACACTTTTAAAGCAATAGTCCGCCCAAAATTCTTAATTCTGTCATTATTTGTTCAGCCTTACATTGTCCTAATTTAGTATGATCTATTATTTATTTTTTCTCCACCTAGATATTTTTTGCTTAGCTGTTTACATGCAAGGACAGTTTATAGTGAACCATGTCTTTGAAGGCCGCATTTAGCATATGTTCACATCCAAAAATGTTTTCACATGTTTTCCATATTTTTCATGTGAAATGATGATTTTAATAATAACTATGATGATTTTTGAATTTACTATAATAATAACTGATGATTTAGATTTTGTGGAGCTCGACAGGTACCACCATGTGGTTGTTGTATTGAAAGATTAGTTTGAAGGTTCTTCAAAATGTATAATTTATTTGTTTGAGTAAATAATGGCATAATTAAAATGTCTGGGTGAATATATACTATATATGGATGCCTGTTCATGCCTTATAATTAAATTTAAAAAAACAAAAAAACAATGTAATTGCGGGAGAATTGCAACTTTATTTCTCATAATTGTGTGAATCTTACAATTGCGACTTTGTTTCTCGTAATTGTGACATTATTTCTTATTTTAAACGGTACACTATCATGCAAAAATTTGTCGAATTTTATTTTTTTTAACAAAGTCTGTATGCTCAACAAGCCTTCATTTATTTGATCAAAAATACAGTAAAAGCAGTGATGATGTGAAATGAAGAGTTCATTTGCAAAAACCGATAAACGCCACTTTAAAAAAAAAAGAGCTGATTGCCGTGCATTATTCTCCACATATAGCGCAATCTGAAACCTAAACATGTTTTGTCAAAAAAGCCGGTTTTGTCCACTTTCAAGGAATCGCGAGTTCACGTTTTACTGCAGAAGCCGACAAGCGCCCTTGTTGTTTTTTGAACAGAAGCCGATAAGTCCATTTTAGCGAATCAGCGCGCTGTATTCAGGTCAGGTGACAAGGCTACTTTCACTTTGAAAAGACGTGCAAGCTGAGAGAGAGGAGTTTCGTCAAAGCTGACTAAAAGCGATCGAGGATGGATAATTTCGACGAACTTGATGAACCTGTGATAGCTTCTTCAGGGCGAAAAAGGAAAATAAAAGCTGTGCAGGCAGATCAGGGAGCCATGATCTACTTTTGCTATAAAACAAACTTTTAATATGTTAAAAAACATACTTTCAATTCACTTTAATTTTGTAAATTACCTGTATTTGTTTGTTATTATTACTTAATCAAAACAACCCAACTGCAGTTTGATTGATATTACTTGGAATGCGCAATAAAAAAAAACGTGATTTCTGAAAAAATATATATTATCGGTTATCGGAGTTATTATCGGAGTTATCAGTTTTTGCAAATGAACTCTTCAAATATTATTACAATTTCAAATAACTGTTTTCTATTTAAATGTATTTTAATATGTAATTTATTCCTGTGACGCAAAGCTGAATTTTCAGCATCATTATTCCAATC